CTACTCGGCTTTCGATATGAAGGAGCTGCCGCAGCTGCTCGCCTCGGTCATCGAGAGGTGAGGGACCGCGGGCGGGGGTTGCCGCCCCTCGGTGTCGCTCGCTCAGGGGGAGCGCTGGGGGTGCCACTGCGGGAGCGGCTGAGGCGGGGCCCGGCTGCGTGTGAGGTGCCCGGTGCCCGGCTCGGTGCCCGGCTCGGTGCCCGGCAGGGCAAGCGGCGGGGTTGCGGCTGGCCGGGAAAAGCCCCGAGCTCCGTTCGCGGCTCCTGCCGCTGTCCCGGGGCCGGAGCTCTCGGAGGTGCCCTCGGGGCCCATAACGGGCTGAGGGTGCTCGGCCGGCCGCAGCACCTCGGACAGGCGCCCGCCGAGAGGCTTCGGGACTGTTCTTGTGGTTTTGCTTTTGTCCAGGCGTGTCACGGTCTGGCCGCTTGGGCCGTGGGAAGTGTTGTCTCACCGGGCTCTGCGGGGACCAGACTTCTCTCTCAGTCTTTACCACTGCAGTGCTTCTCCTATTTTAAGTCGAAATAAAGCAGAACCAAATCAATTCTGCCTTGTTTTAACCACTCAGGTTGGAGTCAGAGCGTACCCACCGCAGCTACTTAATTCAACTTACATCTTGTTTTATGATCTAAAACACGAGACGTGAATGCCACAGCATCATGCTCAGTTACAGGAATTTGCTATTCCAGGAAAAACAGAGGGTCTTGCAGAGTATATCATTTACAGAGATATAACCCCGGCCACAATAAATTGTTAGGAAACATAAAATAAACAGCGCATTGAGGAAGAGGATGAAATAAAACCCAGTGGTGTTTTGTTTAATGTAGAAGGGCTGAGTGTGCAGTGGATGTTTGAGACTCAAAGAGTTAATTTGAGGAGTTCTGTGCCTGCACACACAGAGCAGTTGTTCCATTGGGAGCTGTGCAGGTATTGATGGGTTTGGGCAGCTCCTTGGCCAGTGTTTGCTTTAGGAACCATTCCAGTGGCACTTTTCCCCAGCTAAAGTTCATTAGTGGAGTGTTTCACCAAAAGATCCCAGGGAGACTCAGGTGGACCCACTCGAGTTCTGGCAGAGGGCTGTTTCCTCCTTTAGAGGTGATGTTGGTTCTGTTTTTCACTTGAGACAGAGGTTTGTTGCCTTCACGCAGCTCTGCCTGAGGTTGGAGTTGTGTGCCTGATGTTCTGGCAGGATTTGGGATCTTGGAGGATGGTGTTTTTTGTTTTGTGCCTTGGTGTGGTGTGCTGAATGACAAAGGAATAAATACAACTTGTTGGTGTCTGGAGCTGTGCTTTTCTGTGCTGAACAAGAATCTATCTTTAGATTTCTCACAGAAAATCTTTTATGTGTTCAAGTTATTTTTAGAAGGCAGTTGTTAAGCCCTTGATGGTGTCAGCCAACCCCAAAGTAGCTGCATTTCCCCTTAAATAAACTTGGTGCCATGACAGTGAAATCACCAGTATTATTCTTTTCAAAACAAATCAATAATCCCCTTTTTTTTAACTACTCTGGTATTTCATTTATAAGTTTAAGCATCATCAGGCTACTGGTATTGCTCTGTTAGCAGGTGTCTTCAAGAATTGACAGAAATTAGGCCCTTATTTGACTTAAATGATGGAAATGCTGACTTGGAAAGGTGTTGATGATCACTTGCCTGCTGCCTTCCACTTTGCACTATCATAACATCCACAGTGTTTTTTAATAGAACTCAAACCTCCCATTGCCCAATCCCTATCTCATGCTGGATTCTGCACCTCTGTGTTCTTCATACCCTGTGGGCACTGTGTGTGGTGCACAGCTTGACCTGTGCAGTAATTTAGGAGCTGTCAGCCTCTCCTCTACTCTGTTATTCCCAAATTGTTCTAATTTGTTCTCCTAACAATACTTAGGTACATCTACTGCTGCTGGCTTGGAGTTGGGCCTGAGAAGTAGGTGAGCAAAATGAGTGTCTGAAAAGGAGAGAGCACAGACTGCTTTGCATGTTCAGTCTCTGGGCTCGTTCCTCACCAGAGCAGCTCTGGCAGGAGAGGGTGAGGTGAGGCCTGAGGTGTTTTAACTCGATCATGTGATGCTGTTGAATATTTTCCAGTAAAGCCTCTCTCTTAATTTTCTATTTCAGCTTTTTAGGCAGGCTAAATAAAACCTCACACCTAGGGAATCAGGCTACAAAGCTGACGGGTATTTCTGCTCGTTTTTGTGGAGAAATGATTGTGTTCCAGAGTTGTTTCTCTTTTAGCTGCACCTCCTGTTACAGCTGGAAACGATGGCTTAGGGTGGAAAAAGGGAAGGTGACTGGGCTTTATTCAGGTCAGCAGGGAATGGTGAAATCATGCTTGGAGCTGGGTACAGACTGTGCCACGGGCTGCTGCCCTCCAGAGATAACCTCTGTTCCAGAGGTGGGGAAGCCTGGCTTGGAGAGGCAACTAATAATTGTTCTTCTTGCTCGTTCACATCACTGCGTGAAAATGTGGATAAAAGTAAACTGATTATTTATGAGGCAGGTAGGCACATCCCTTAGTGTTGTCACAGGAAAAACGAGAGGTAGAAGGAGGTGTGGAGGCAGAGCAGTTTGTGTTCTGTGTGTCTGTGCAGGTGGGGTGTGGTGGGACACCTTTAAGTGGTCACCTCTGCCATAAACCGTCCTTGCTGAGGCCAGAGTGTAGCTGAGAAGCCTCAGGGGCTCTGCCTTACCTGCCCAAATCCCTCCCCAGCTGCTC